TCCTATCCTATCCTATCCTATCCTATCCTATCCTATCCTATCCTATCCTATTCCATTCTGTATTTTCTCTTCTCTTCCCTTCTCTCTATTTTTCTTCTAATTCTATTCTAATTCTATTCTACTCTACACTACCCTATTCCTATTCCTATCCTAATCCTATCCTATTCCTATCCTATCCCATTTTGTATTTTCTCTTCTCTTCTCTTCCCTCTATTTCTCTTCCCTCTAATTCTATTCTACTCTACTCTACTCTATTTTATTCCACTCCATCCCATTCTATTCTAAATACCAAAGTTTCTTGGAGGTTGACACAGGGATTCCTAAAGAAGGCTTCATTTCCCCAGATGTGGGACCATCCAAGGACTCCTGGCTGCGGCTGCTGCTGCTACTGCTTCTCTTGGAAGACAGAGCCACTGTCTCCTCTCACCCCTTGGGTCCATTCTTCCCTTGGACCTCTTAGCAGGAGAAGGTCCTGAAGTTCACATCCTACATTCTTGGGTGAAAAAACAAGTTGGATATTAACTTTTAACCATTTGCAACTGTTCCTTAAGCGCATTCCTTCACCATTGTCTAGTCGGTGCATTTTGTACCTGTTTGAGGTATGTCCCTGTTTGCTGAGAAATTAAAAAGGCAAGGAATGTTGTTGTTGTCATGCTGTTGACTCTCAGGAAGTGTGACCCATAAACGGAGGCCACTGGGGCCGGGGGGAGTTTCCAGCTTTGGCAAACATATTGGGCAAATGCATACGATCGGTCGCCCATTTCCTTTGGGGGCAGAAGGAAGAACATACTGACTCTAGGTCAGAGGTCTCCAAACTCGGCCACTTTAAGACTTGTGGACTTCAACTCCCAGAATTCTCCAGCCAGCTCTGCTTGTGGACTTGATCTCGATTGTATCCTTCTGTTAATGCAACTTAGGACTGCGTTAGCCTTTTTAGCTGCCACTGCACACAGCTGGCTCATGTCAGGATATCTAAAACTAGCCTCATGTTAGGAGAATTACAGGGATCCCAGTCAAAAGATGACCACGGCACGAGTGAAACTCTTCAGTGCCTCCTGCTCCAGGTGAGATAGCTTTAGACAAAAAACAAAAACACAACTTCCTGTAGTGCCTATGAAGATTCTCAGTCATTCAGGTCACGGTTGTCCAGATGAAGTCACAGACGAAGTCAAACAGCTGAAGAAGCTTCTTGGATGAGAAGCAAAACATCTTCAAAGAAAAAAAATCCAGTTGCCCCCTTTAAAAAAGCACCTTTGGGACAACTTCCTCTATTGTTACCTGGTTCTGGTAATGAAATGTCTGCAGGAAAACAAGCAAGCTCAGAGATCACTAAGAACCCTTCATGTCAACCCTGAGCTACACATATTCTCCTTTGGTAGGACAAAAACTTCCACTCCGCTCTTCCAGAAGAGTCCAGGGGTTTTGACCTAAGTCGGGGTCCCCAGACTTAGGCACTTTAAGACTTGTGGACTTCAACTCCCAGAATTCTCTAGCCCATATGGCTGGCTGGAGAATTCTGGGAGTTGAAGTCTGCAAGTGTTAAAGTGGCCAAGTTTGAAGACCTCTGACCAAGGTCCTTGTGACGACCCAGGGTGGGATACAAAAGCAATAAAGTCACAAAAACCAGTGAAGTCCCTTTAATTCTTTCAACTTGGCTTCAAAGGTCCAACTATCATTGACTGGAGAAAAAAACTCCCCCACAAACAGTTGCAAAAAGGAAGAACTTCCATTCAAACTCAAAATACATATAAATTGTAAATAGAAAAACAACGACACAAACCACACCGAAGCAATTGATGAGACAAGGCAGGATAAGGGCTTGAAGACATCCACCGATATCGAAATACACACCCTGGGAAGTGAGAACAATTAATCGGTGGAAGGACTTCCTTCCAGAAGTCGTGGGTGCTCCATCACTGGAGATTTCCAAGAAGAGCTTGGACAGCCATTTGTCCAGAATAGAAGAGGGTCTCCTGGTTTAGGCAGGAGATTGGATTAGAACAATGGTTCTTAAACTTTCCTTCACCAGAGACACCCTTTAAATATCTTTTGTGGCCACCGGTTGAGATCCACTGACCCGCTGATATCTGAGGTCCCTTCCAACCTTACTATTCTATGTCTCACAACCCTGTTGAGAACTGGAGTTGATGCTACCCAATGGAGGCGTTCACAGTGGGGAAGCCGGTGACCACAATGGGAGAATCACAGCCCTCTCTCGTCTGTGTTTACGTTAATGTTTGGATGACCCAAAGTGGAAGGGATTGCTAACATTTCAGAAGGCCAACGTGAACATCGGGCCTAACGAAACACGTTTCAATCCCAAGAACTCCAGGATTCTCCACTACTTCGGGTTTTCTGTGTAAGTGTCATGCCCCTGTCCAGAGTCTGAATTCTGAAGGAAGAAGCCGGACAGCTGAAAGGGAGCAGGAATGTGGCTTTGTTGGCTGTGGAGGAGGCTGGGGAACGGCAAAGTCAGGCTGGGCAGAGCAGGGGAGAGGTAGAACAAGGGAGAGGGAGTTCAGAGGAAGACCCAGGCCCACCCCCTCTTCATCCTAGGGAGGAATGGAGAAGGGAGCAACATGGGTTGCCTGGCTTACGGGGGAGGAAAGGGCCCTGATTCCCTTCATTAGCCATAGCTGGGAAGACAGTTTAAAAGAAAGACAGGCTACGTGTGGCAACTTCTGGGAGCAAACAAATCTTGTGTTGTAGTGTGTTCCTGTGTTCCTGGCATCTTCCCAACCGCGTGAGTTTTGCCGTGCCTTCAAGTCTGAAATTCTTGCTCCTGCCCTGCCAAACTCATTACTTCAGTTTGGCTTGTTTGGACTTAATTTTCTGCAGCCAAAGGCTGTTCCTGGGAGAGATTTTCTCCGGCCAGAAGGTAACCTGGAAATTGGAGGCAAAGTTGGAGATAATAACGGAACTCTTATTGATTATCCAACTGTGCTGCCTTTGTGCCACACCCCTTTGGGTCATCACAGTAAGCCACCCAGAGTCATGTGTATGAGATGGGAGGCTACCGTTATAAATCAGATTAATAGTATGAAAAAATAGATGTTTAGGTATAAGATAGGTAGTACCTGACTCATCAGTAATATTACACTCAGAAGGATCAGAAGGCCATTAATTAAATATGAGTCAACTGTGTGCAGCACCTGCCAAAGCCAATGTCATCTTGATATGCATCAACAGCAGCCCTAGTGCCAAGATCCCTATTGTGTTCCCCATAGCTATCCCACGGTTGGGAAACTTGGACCTTCAAACATCAAGAAAGGAAGAAAATTGACTCATTTGAGTTGTGGTGCTGGAGAAGGTGCCTGCAT